ACGAAAACTTTACGTCAAATTGCTACTCAGTTTACCAACCCCTGATGGCCTTACTACGCCGGCGGGGCCGATCCCCCCCAACCGGGATTAGAACCCGCAACCCTCGGCTCGCGAGCCGCGCGTTCTGTTGCCGAGCCACTCGGAAAGACGCAAGTGTTGAGAGCGGTGGCAGCAGTAAAACACTCGCACTCGAGCAATCGTTAGGAGAGGCAATTAATACGCGAGCTGTACGCTCGGGCGTACGGCGGCAAGCGTGCGTGTTAAGACTTTGTCGCTGAATCTGATGCGCGAAGGCTCTCTGAAAGTGAGTTTATTCGAAACTTGTGGTTCTGTCCATCGGGCGGCGTGATGTCTATGCAATCTGCTGGATGGTTTTAGATGAGGCTACTTCGAGCTTGTCACGGCGATTGTCTTTTTGCCGAGCCATTTCATGCACATCGCTTGCACCGAGATTCCAAAATGGGGACGGGCAGCTCAAGGTCACGAGATAGCGGCTGTGATGTCATCGTGAGCATCGGCATCACATGTGTGGCTTACTGTAAATACTTTGGTGTGTTGGTGCGGGGTGTTGCGAGGATTCTATAATGTTGACACGGCACTTTGTACAACCGAAGTAAATGGAAAAGCATGAGCTGCTTAGTTCTGAATGGTAACAACTTGAGCTCTGTTTTACCAACAATAGTCCAACTGCCCCTATCGTATGACCAGATGAAACCGGCCGCATGTCTTTAACCAACAATCCAACCAGAACCTGCATGTCAGCTCGTGTGGAGCTGCTGGGATGGATTTCCGCATCGCAGGATCACGAGAGGAGGCGGAGGCTAGGGGGACGCCTTCATCCAGCAGTGGATTGACCATGACTGACCATGATGGTTATGATCATGATATACATAGTCATTTCCTAAAGAGGTTGAGTCTAGCATAAAATCTAGAACGTGTGCAATAAGGAGTGAACAAAAAACCGGGCAAAAGCAGATTTGGACAAGTTAATGTTTATGGGACGGAGCTGTGGCACCGTGGTCAGCACATGGCGCTCTGAACCTAAAAACCTGAGTTAAATTTTCAGCCACGGCTCACATCAGTGGTGAGTGAAACCTAAACTGGTGGTGCTGCTCTCCCCCCCCCATCACTATCTCGCGCTGACCACCATGGTGAAGTATGGTCACAACTCTCATGGCCAACATGGTATAGGGAGGCCTTCATTCAGGAATGGATTGACAAAGGGTTGTAAGTGATTTATTGATTTCAGAAAATATGTATACCGTGAAAATGCATCGGATGTATGCATCATTGACTCTGGCATACAATGTCCCACCATTTTTTTTCACAATTGGCAACAGGCTAACAATTCCCTCTGATAAGGAGTGTAAATTGAATCTTTGAACCCTGACAATCTGCCGCCTCCGTGGTGGCACGCGTTAACGCACCGCGCTACTTGAATTGTGCAGCCCATCGTTTCTCGATTGGCTCGTACAATTCGTACCATGGGCACTAAATATACTTATTAGGTTGGCAGTGGATGTCATATAGAGATAGGATTTTTAACCTGGTCACAAGTGAGGTGACATTTCCCCTCGTGGCTCATTAACACCACGGGACATGTGCACTGAGCAACGATCCTTCGGAGGGCAGTAGGGACACATTTCCAACTCCCACATACGTCTAAATTTATATTGGACCGATGCACGCCGTTCATCCCTCCAACCGTTGCAAGCCGCCACACACTTCATCTGCGCGTTCGTACTTGCCTGCCGTAGAGCGCTACTCAAAGGCTGCCTGTTAATCTTTACGGCCACCCAGTGTGGCAAGCGCCAAGGTATGCCTCGGAGTTTAATGACCTTGTTGACTGCTGCGTGTGCGCAGTAAAAACGTCTCCGTGCAGGGGTCAGCACAGCGCACACCATCTGTCGAACTGTCCCCTGCGTATGCTTTCGGCACAACTTAATATACGTGCACACTCGGTGGATGTGAAACTCTCTAACCGATGACTTGTTCTTCTTGCCGAGTAGCTTTGTCGTTTCAGGGTGTGAATAGTTGTTGAATTTAATCGCCCTACGACCAAATGACCCCAAATTGCGCTTGGTCTGAACAGATCTCAGGAAGCTCAGCAGGATTTTTTTGGGGCCTGGCTAGTACTTACACAGGAGAATATTCTGGGAATACCAACCCTTGTTGGTGTGGGCTTATGAGGTGACCAAGAGGGTAGCAGTACAGCAAGTAGGCGTTGAATCCATCTCCTTGTGTGTATGGATTGTCTTCAGGTGCTCTCGTTTTCTGCCAGATGCCGACAATCATTTTTATAATTGACCAAACTTTCCTTGGAGAGCCTTGGGCCTCAGTGGTGTGTTCCTGGATGAACAACGGACATTGTTTACGACTATAATAAAGTAGCGTAATTGTAAATAATGATAGTAATAATAATCGTGTAAGCTTGGGCTTAATTTATTTTAATGTTTTCAAATGTGCTGTACAGTAGTAGCAAAAAAGAAATTGGCACAGCATAATAAACTGGCACTTACTGTAACACTACATATTCCATTGCATATCACACACACACGCGCCGTTGAATATGAATTCATGGCCAAAATAATTGCAATGTCAAGTACCTTATTGCTCATTGCAGATGGCTTTCAATGCTATAATAAATGTAAGCCGGATTTGCTATGAATTATTTATACATTGGCATTCGTGTTTACAGCACAAACATGCAAACATCTCACTTTTAAATATGGTTTTCTAAGTATGTCTTCTTAATTTGACGTAAGTATGCCTTGGCACATTACCGCATTTGCAACTCAGAAATGCGTTCTTAATTACATTTGCAATATAATAGCATTAATTCAGAACACAATTCGGGGAAGTTCATGAGGACCAAGAAATGTATTATAGAGAGAAATTATACACCTATTGCCTATAGATTAAGTTTTAATTAATCCGTTAAAGCCAAGGATAATGTATTATTGATGCAGTCAAAAGTAACAATACTTGTCTAACAATGAATAATGAATGTTAACGAACATTTTGAAACTGCACCATGTGAATGTCACATTTGATCTTTGTACGTGTTGTGGTAACTTTTTTTTATTAAATGCATACAGATATTTAGCATGCTGTTATCGCGATTAAATGGCAGTCTCGTCCCACTGGTATTACAAGTACACACATTACACACATCAAAAGTATGCTACAATTACACACACGTACATTAAATACATTTTACATGACTAATTACGATGACACTCCTCATGGATATAAGTCAATGAAAATACTTAGATTGCATATTGTACATATATATAATCATTTATATCATGACCAAATCACACAGAGTGGGCCTGATCGCGTCAGATCTCGGAAGCTAAGCAGGTATATAGGGCCACGACAGCGCTCGGATGAGCGATCACCATGCGCGAGAAACCAGGGTGATAGGCGTTGTGGGATAATGCAGCAAAATGTATATGTTGTCCTTCCTCCACACTTCCCATTTGTATCTATGTTTTACGTCTTTCGCACCGTACGTAGCCAACCGTGTTAATCTGATGTACGGGGGAAGGACAACCGACTTAAACACAAGATTAGCATGGTTGGCTACGTACAGTGCAAAATAAGTTGTACATACGTACATAAAGCCATTACTGTTGTGTACGACCATCCACTTTCACCAACCCGCATTGACTAGCATGGTGACGCATGGTCAAATGTACCTCATGTGCTGAAATGCTTGGGAGGCCCTCATCCGGCAGTGGGTCGAATGACATTGGAGAATTAGTTTGTTTTATACGTATGCAGTGACAAATAAAAAATCAAGTTTTGGGGTCAACTGCACCAGTTTTTCTGACACTCAAAAAGTCACAGTGTATGTCTATAATATAAAAGTTCAATAGCTTGGTAGATGTGCACTGTTTGAAATTAATCATAAGCATGTTGCTCCGCATAATGTGTGCTCTGAACCTGTATATAAGCTGCGCGCAAGTCACGTTCTTTTAATAACAGAGGCAACAAACTCAATTACCAACTTTAAAAGTTAAATAAAAGCAGACATTAAACTTGCCAACAACCCACAAAAAGAATATTAAGAGTAATGTGGGCGGTAAAACTATGTTAGGTTTATTTTGTTTATTTTAACATGCCAGCAAAATGTGTTTCTACCGCGCAGCTTTTCGCGGTTGTGCAGCGTAGCTCTCCGATGCATTCTCGATTTGTACCGCGTATTTTGTTCGAAGCAATGTCCGACGTTTCACTCCACGTGCTGGGGAGTTTTCTCACTTCCCGAAGAAGCTCCCAGCACATGGAGCGAAACGTCAGACGTTGTGCCAGTCAACACCATGGCACAGCCTGAAAGCAGATCGGAGAGAAAAAAAATATTAAGCATTTTAATAATAGTAACAACAACACTATCATTTTATATAACATCCAACAACGCTGTACATTAAATATGAGGATAGAATCCCATATACAGATACAGTAAAACCTTGGATTGCGAGCAACTTGGTCTGCGAGTGTTTTGCAAGACGGGCAAAAATTTAACATAAATTTTTATTTGATAAACGAGCGAGGTCTGGCAATACGAGCAGTACGTATACGCTTTGTCTGCCGAGCATCACGTGATCACAACTGATTTACGAGTGCTTTGATATACGAGTGCTTTGGATTACAAACACGTTTCCGGAACGAATTATGCTCGCAATCCAAGGTTTTACTGTACTACCAAGCCAATGAAAATCCCATTGGCTTGGTATTAGTTCATTAGGTCTACCAGATTACAATCCCCAACTTCCCAGCCAAGCTGGGAAACCTTCACAGGAGGGGCATCGGTGGTGGAGTGCCAAAAAGTTACGACGCCTTTTCATCAATCGGTCCAATGTCCAAACAAGTGATTCTATATTTTTCAGGGTATGTCTCTTTAAATTATTTTCCTTGGAGAAAAATCCCACCCTCTTGTGCCCATTTATGCAATGCCGTGAAAGTGGTAAATACTCAACAGTTGCACCATTCTCTTCCAGGTCTGGGCTTGGCATTCAACCTGCAACCCGCACTCACGATAATCGGTAAGTATTTTTACAAGAAGCGCCCCATCGCCAATGGAATCTCGATGGCCGGGAGCCCCGTAGGCTTGAGCACCATCGCTCCGCTCAACCAGGTCCTAATCAACAACTTCGGCTGGCGAGGGAGCTTCCTCATCCTGGCCGCTTTGCTCTTCAACTGCTGCGTGGCCGGTTCTCTCATGAGACCCGTGGGACCCACTCCGGCCAAAGACGCTCGGAAGAAGGGCAAAGAGGAGGTGCCGAATAACTTGGAAAACCCCCTGCTCGCGACCTCAAACTCCGAGGCGAAAGACAAGAACGGCGACTCGTTCTCCAGCCGCTTCATGCAGCTGCTGGACCTGACGCTCTTTAAGCACCGCGGCTTCCTCATCTACCTCTCGGGAAACGTGATCATGTTCTTCGGATTCTTCGCGCCTGTCGTTTTTCTCGCCCCTTACGCCAAGCACATGGGCATAGAAAACTACTCGGCCGCCTTCCTGCTCTCCGTCATGGCCTTCGTCGACATGGTGGCGAGGCCCACGACAGGCCTCCTGGCGAACCACCCGCGCATCCGGCCCAAGATCCAGTACTTCTTCAGCTTCGCCGTCTTCTTCAACGGCTTCTGCCACGTCATGTGCCCCTTCGCGTCCGACTACACGGGGCTCGTGATCTACGCCGCCTTCTTCGGCATGGCTTTCGGCATGGTGAGCGCCATGCTCTTCGAGACGCTCATGGACCTGGTCGGGGCTCAGAGGTTCTCCAGTGCTGTGGGGCTGGTCACCATCGTTGAGTGCTGCCCAGTGCTTCTGGGTCCACCCATCGGAGGTAAGGGCATTGGACACGCTTCAAGCCCAACGGTGATTCTTCCTGCCTGTGCACTCACTTCGTGCTGTTGTGCAGCATTCTCGGTAGCAACAACAACATGCATCTCTCCGCATTCATATCCGGCAGTAATTTTTTGATGAAGGAAAACTCAGGACCGGTTTCGACCTCCTGGGTCTCATCAGTTTTCCTGATTTAAAAACATGCCGCCGTTGAATAACAATGGTCTGGGAAGCCATTAGGCCGACAACTAAAGAGCATATTGAATTTGTACGCGGAGACACATAATGGAGCCGGAATATTTATACGCCTCCTTTCGTACGACTTTTTTCGTGAAGGGTTAAAATTGAAAGAGCGACATTATGTGTGGGATAATTTTGAGTATTCCATTGTGTGACAGGAAGAGCCATTTAATGACATTCCTTAGCATTGTGTTGCCATTATTATATATATTTTTTATCATGGATGCAAGGATGCAGGTATTTATACTCGGTTATTTCTTTCACGTTACGTGCATCGAGGGGGGGAGCTGCATTCGTGGAATGGTTTAGCCCTACTGGACTATGCGATCCAGTGGTCGCCGGCAGTATACACCGGCACACCACAGTGTTGTGGGGTAAAGTGTGGGGTATGCCCACCTCTTCCAGGACGGTCTGGCCACTTTGAAAAGGGGGAACAGAGAGGTGAGCGCTGTGGAGGCCCGTTCTGCTGCTAGCAGAGGCGTTGAGGGCTCAATTGCAGGGCTGCACCTTGAAACAAATACAGTAAAACCTTGGATTGCGAGTAACTTGGTCTGCGAGTGTTTTGCAAGACGAGCAAAAAAATTTAAGTTTATATTAATTTGATAAACGAGCGAGGTCTTGCAATACGAGTAGTACGTATACGCTTTGTCTGTTGAGCGTCACGTGATCACAACTGATATACGAGCGCTTTGATATACGAGTGCTTTGGATTACAAACACGTTTCCGGAACGAATTATGCTCGCAATCCAAGGTTATACTGTATATGCTTCTCAATCAGCTTGTTGAATGGGCTTGTCTGCTGTTTATTTCTACTGTTAGATAACTATTCGCATGCCAATTTAAAAACTGGTCATCAGAACACATTTTTCAATGTAATTATCAGCCCCCCCCCCCCCCCATGGTGTAAAGGGTAGTCTTCAACCCGAATAAACTCTGGCCCCTGTGCTGTTAAGAAGCACCATTGCCCAACAAGTAATCAATTACATATTTATTTTTAAGGCCACAGCGTTATTGACGGATCGAGTCCCTTTTTTCTTATTGCTTGTGCACCACCACACCTCCGATTAGCAAGGTTGACTACGTTACGGTGCGAAAGAAGCTCCAGCAAACATACACAAATTCAAATGCAGCGGCATCACCGAATAATTAGTTTTAATTATCCCCCCCCCCACCTCCTGCTGTTGCTGTGTGCCTTAATTGGCTAAAACTTTTAAAAGATATCTCTTGATTTTAAGCTTTCGTGACTGCAGCAATCCATACTATTTGGTTCTTTTATTTTTAAAGATACATTTTGTATTTGAAATGATATGGTTTTTTTACCTTTGTTTTCATTCATTCACGTTTATTACGAATTTATTTTCCTCTCTGTCACGTCAGTCAATGAAACGGTGCGTGGTTTTTATTGATGAAAACCGACGTGAAGAGCTTCTCGGCTCACGGGCTATTTGAAGATGAACAGAAACTGAACTTCCTCCACTCCGCCTGTCCCCCCCCACCTCCCCAGGCTGGCTGGTGGACGTCACGGGCGACTACAAGTACATGTACTACGTGTGCGGCGCCATCGTCATGGTGGCGGGCATCTACCTCTTCATCGCCAACGGCATCAACTACCACCTGCTGGCAAAGGAGAAGCGCGAGCGGGAGAAGGCGGCGGCGGCGGGCAGGGAGATGGTCGCCCCTGGCACGCACAACTCCCCGCCGCTCGACGCAGCGGAAATCAAAGAGAGCAATGCCTAAAGGGTACACGGGCATTGTGGGGGGCAAGGGCGGGGGGGGGGCGGGGGGGGGGGGGTGGGTAGATGGGTCACGGTAACACGGGGGAGAGGCTCTATCATTTGCATCGTCGTCAATCACACGCGCGTGGTCGAACCACTCGGGGCTCCGGAGGTGGCTTGAGTGGATCTCGAGGGGAGTTGCCATGGCTGCGGCGTCATAGCGCCCCGGCCGCGCGCCCGCTTGAGCTTCCCCTGGGCTTGAATCATGTGCTCCGGACCCACGGCTCTCGCTGGAGTGTGTGTTGCCGGTGTTCCACCCAGTGGTTGATGAGCACTCGACACGAAATAACTCGACGCGTTCGTCAATGGCTCTATTGCCGATAATTATATATGTATATTTTTTGTTAAGCCATTGTGTTATCGGCGAGGTGCTGTTGCTGAGTGTTTTTGTTGTTGTCATCCGTACTTGCGTACCGCTGCCAATGGCGCAGCAGCAGCAGCAGCAAATAACAATAATGTGCACCAAAATAATGATGTCATTCGGCTTCATGCTTCGGTATGGCCTCGCTCAGAAGCAGAGTGGAAGAGCAGAGAAAACCACTTTTGTCTGTTGCACAGCTGCGGAGCATAGTTAGTAAGGTAGACCAGTGAAGTTGTAGGAGGTGGAAGACCTATATAATGCTGTATATCCGGATTTATTCCCAACGTGACACGTTCTGCACGACAGCCTCTCTAATTTGACATGCACAATTACCCGCATAAAACTCGTTTATACAATCGGGATATAATTAGTGATGAATTCATTGAAAGCTAAGAGAAAAAAAAACAATCAATCTCCCAATGATTTTTAGTGCAGTGGCATGTTAGAATAAACAACTTTGAATGCACGTTGTGAATTATGTATTAAATATATTATAATAATAAAACATCCAGAAAGGATGTAAAATAACTTTCCGCATTATGGCAAATAATGCATTCTCTGTTGTGAAATGATCACGTTTTGAAAGACCGGCCTTGAAAATAATAAGTTTAATCCTTTGTTATTCACAAGAAGAATTATGATTTACTTCTAAGGAGGCATTCGTCGGTTAAGGAAGGCATGATAGCCTCATTGGAGAGGCATGGGGGATTAGTGGGTGCCAAGGTGGCGAAATGTTAGCTCCCTCGCCTGGTATGCAGGAGGTTGTGCGCGTCTCTCTCCCCGTAGTCGGTGGATTTTTCTCCGGGTCTTCCGGTTTTTCCCTCCACATTTAGAATCAAAACGCGTTTATAGTATTTTGTCTGCTATACATTTGCACATGATAGGCCACTTCGTTGAGCTATCATTTGTGGCCAGGTCGCTTCTGAAACAGAGCCATATAGCTCCGTGAGCCTTACCTGGTAAAACAATTAATAGTTTAAAATAAGTTTTATTAGTGGCTAGGGTGCAATAAATAGCATGGCATCTCAAGTTGTTTACTTATACCTTGTATACTGTTCTGGCACCAAAGCAAATCTATAAATTACATCTAAGTGTAGTCTTAAACTTCTATCATTTAATATAAAAAACAGGTAACTTTTGTCCATCATTGAAAAAGAAAAATGTGAAACATTCGTTAAAATATGCATCATTTTCATTCGACATTCGTTAAAATATGCATCATTTTAATTCGACTTGTTAAATATATATTGGATTTATTTTAGATTGAATTTTAGCCACAGCCTCGTCGTGTCGTTCAGTAGTTCCAAATGTAACCCTACCTCCAACATTAAAACTACCCCCGCAGAATTGACCTTTATAGTTGAATTAATATTTCAAATGTTAGTACAGTATTTAGTTTTTTTTTTTTAAATACAGCGGTTTTAAATTATTTTCGGTAATGAAAACAAATCCTTTTGAATAAAAAGTAAGATGTCCGTGTGGTCCAATGCTCATTTAGAAGCGGTACTGTATTGAATGGGATGCTGGTTTACATGGCTTGATATGAACCGGTATGGTACGCCCACAACATGAGTCGCCATTGTGCACTGGAGCATTATGTTACTCACAATTTTGTCAACGTCTTAATTAGTTATTCTCATTCTTGGTTCTTTTGGTAAAGTCACGTATAAAGGAAACAATAAAATAATAAAAATATAAAACGATAAAACTCTCACGACGTTTCGACTGCAACACAAGCAATCATCATCAGGTGTGAAAGCCACAGCAAGCAATCATCATCATCAGGTGTGAAAACCACAGCAAGAAAATTTTCTTGCTGATGATGATTGCTTGTGTTGCAGTCGAAACGTCGTGAGAATTTTATTGTTTTATATTTTTATTACTTCATTGTTTCCCTTCTACATGGTGACTTTACCGAAAGAACCAAGAATATGAATCCTTGCAGTCACGAAAGCTTTAAATCAAAATTTAGTTATTCTAAGTTGGGGCCCCCTTCATCGTGATAACATTTAGACATGCACCTGTGTAGTCCGCAACGCCCAGAGGCTGCATTGAAGCTCCGGAAATGAATGCTCCCCGTGCGAGTTTGAGCCATGCCAACATGCCTTCTTCAGTTGAATCCTCCGTTAAAGGTGAATGTGCAAATATAATTACTTAAGTGCTTGGAGAGGCGAGATGATGAAAACGTATGCTTAAACTTGATTTAAAACCAAAACTTTATATTTAAGACTAATTAATCCTACATTTCAAAATAAGAGCAAGCGGTGCACTATTTTCGTACTGTATTTTACATACATGTACGTGTTTGTGAACGCAACTTAAATTATGTATTTGTACATATTAGTTATTTTATAGCGACCGTTATGTACAAACGTGCACGGAACCGTCTTGCATAAAATGGTCCCACTTAAAATGCTTTGCCACACTCCCGTCGGAGTGTCTGAGAGTATTCCTGACAACTGAACGAGAGGGAATTAAATGCCTTTCAAGGAACTTCCTTGAAATAAATGCAATCACATCGGGGGTGACTTTGAGGCCTTGAAACACCTTCACAGAAGAAAAGCCCACACACGTGCTCGCTATTAAACACTGAGTTCTGCATTACAATATGGTCTGCCATTATTAGACGTTTAAATTGAAACGTTACATTGATGGATCGTCCTCGAGTTACGAAGCGCATCCAGAATTGCTGGATCGTCGCTCCACCTCCTATTGTGTTTGTCAAATGTTATGTAATCGTTTGACATACCAGCCAATCATTGTGTGTGTGTGTGTGATTGTCCACATCTTTGAAGCACTCTTGATCGATTGTTATGATGTAGCCTGATGTTTGTCTTTTGTATCGTTATTTAGGGATCTTAATGCCAGGTGGTGTGTGACTTGCCCTTCAACCTTGCAGCAGTGGTTTGGCCATGGCTGGTGAAGGATAATGATAACTGTTGTTATTGTCATCTGTGAGCAGTTTATTTTGTGAAACGGCCTTGTAAATTAAACGTAACATCGCGTCTGATTTGACAAACGAGGGGCCTCGTGACACCTTTTAACCAGTTGTTTTTGAAGAGTCGGCGGTGATGCATGTCACGGTTTCTGTATCCTGTGCAATGTCAGGGTGTAAACAATTGAGTTGCCTGCCCAATTTGGATTCAACAAGCCACGCTCTGTAATCCCGTACAATTTTAACAGCGCTGTCTCGAAACCGTATTTATGTTTCTACAAACACTTCCTGTGCCTTAAACGTTGCGCATCGTTGAAATGGATGTTTTGTATAATTAAAAAAAAATACAGCATTGACCTTGACCCCGATGCAACGACTCGTGTCTCCGTGGAAGTTCATAAATGATAACATCACTGGCCAGTTGCAAGTTGACATTGCTATTGATGTAAATGCCTACATTAAACTCCTGAATTATTTTTGCGGGTACACGTGTTGGAGACAAAACGAGGTTGCGAGGCACATTTGCAGCGACTGGAGATAATTAATAATAAAAAATCACGAACCGAATTTCACAATAATGAGTAGTCGAGGTGTACTCGTGTCACTGACAGGTTAAAAGTAAACACGTATGCATCAAAGGCAAATATGAACTGTAATGCAGCTGTCGTCGGGATGATCTAGGTGGCATACATGCATAACCCCTTTTTGTATATGTATGTACGTATGTTGAACTTCTTTCGCACCGTACGTAATCAATATGCGATTTTACTTGGGGAAAAACTTTGCCGAGTCCTAAGATATTTTTTTCTCAGGAAGGGGTCCTGCTTCGGTCTATTTCAGGAAATCCTTAGTGAATATTTCGTTTCATTTTTTTTATCTCAGTGAGAGGAAATCCACAGGAGGCCACGACCACTGAATCCCTTCCTCTCGCCCCGCCCACTGTGAAAGCAGACACTGCTGGAGCTATGCACTTTTAAATCATCTAGATTGACAAACTAATTTCTTTATAACTGTTTTTTGTGTTTAGTTTGCTGTCCCCCCCCCCTCGCACCTCCTATGAGCGCAGTTGGCTATGTACGGTGCGAAAGAAGTTCAACATACAAACATCCCCAACATTTTGGCCTGTTAATTTCTTCTCCTCATTCCTACCTGATGCTCCTTCCTGCTGCTCATCTTGAGCTGTGCCTTCCTTGTACGTCTTTGAGAACTTCCATGCTGGCAAACCCTTCCCTTTCCCGGTCATCTCTTCCCTTTCCCGGTCATCTCTTCCCTTTCCCGGTCGTCCTGTCCTCCCGCTGTCTGCTGCCCATTTGCACAACTGACTCTATTCCCCTCCCCATGATGCTGTGCCACAGGTAATACGTTTTGTATATACCCATAAAAATAACAACACAGACAGGACATTGACCGACTTTCTATACTGCTTCGTGCAGGCACCTTGCTTACCTCAAGTTGGGTATATTGTGCACACGAGTCTCACCCAAAGCCGCTAATTCTGCCCCAAATGCAGTAACGTGCAAGCGGATAATTTTTTAATAATAATCATCAAATATTTAAGTGCACGCACACTTTTGGAATGCAGTTAATTTGACACTGCAAAAAAGAAAACTTTCCTTGTATACATCGCTGCCAGAGGGGCAAAGTTGGGAAACGTGGCCCCTTCTCTGCAAAGGACAGAGAAGGGG